AACAGGAAAACTTGAAGACCAAGTTGATACAGGCAGGAATCTGTGAGAATTGGTGGGTTCTGGAGTGATCTGACATTGATTTTTGTGTAGAAAAGGGCAGCATTTCTCAATCAAAATGACATCTCAGAATTACCTGTGGATCTGCTCAAGAATAAGTATATCTGACCCCACCATACTAATTCAGTCCCAGTTAAGTAGATAGACAGGAATGGAACCCAAGAATCAATATTTTGAGAAGTTTCTAGGAGTGAGAATTAGGAATGTCTCCTAAGCCACTTCACCTTCTCCCCATTCTCCCTCTGGCCACCTTCCAGAAGCTTTGTAGTCTCCAGTTTGATTGAGTCACTACTTTCAGACTTCCATGTCTCAGAAGCTGGACTGACCTTACATAAGTATATTGTCAGGGGAAGACTCCAAGGCACAGTTCAAGGGCACTAGTAGAATTGATTCGATTAGTAGAGAGAGCCCCAGATTCAGACTCCCAAGATTTGGGTTTCAGTCCCAGCTTTATTTGTGTTAACTGTGAGACACTGAGAAAATCTCTACCTCTCAGCTTCAGCTTATTAACAGTAACATCCAATAATTACTATCTTCCCTCACCCTGAGACTTTAAAATTCTAGTGTAACTTCTGAGCAGGGTTGGCTTATGGGGAAAACTGAGTTAAAGAAGAAAAGATTTGACGGCAGACTGTCTTGTCAGTCTTTAGTGTTCTCTTGTGTGTGTGCGTGTGCTTAGTCACTTAGTAGTGTCTGAGTCTTTGTGCCCCCACAGACTGTAGCCCACCAGGCTCCTCTGTCTATGGGGGTTCTCCAGGAAAGAAGAGTGGAGTGGGTTGCTACACCCTCCTTCAGGGGATCTTCCCAACCCAGGGGTTGAGCCCAGGTCTCCTGCATTGCAGGTGAATTCTTTACCATCTGAGCCACCAGGGAAGCCCAAGAATGCTGGAGTGGGTAGCCTATCCATTCTCCAGGGGAACTCCCCAACCCAGGAATCAAACTGGGGTCTTCTACATTGCAGGTAGATTCTTTACCAGCTGAGCTACCATGGAAGCCCAATATTCTCTTAACATTCTCTAAATATGTAGATTTCCCCAAACTGTTTGATCATAGAACAGTGTGTGTGTATGTGGGAGAGAGAGAGGGATAGAGAAAGATTTCTCAGGAAACTATTTTTCAGTATAACTATACTTCAGAAAAAGCTGTTACAAACTCTCCTCTCTTCAGCTGGCATTGCTCTGAGAAATCACTGCCCCTCACTGGGACTGCTGTCATATTGACAAGCCCCTGTAGTGGAGTAATTGAGGAAAGACCTCTTGATGGCTTTCATTACTATCTCTCTGCGTCAAAGAGGCACATCCCTATGTACAACCTGGTCTCTCATTTGAGCGCCACATAGGCACCTCAAGTACAGCATACAAAACTCAGCTTAGTAAACTTAGCAACCTTCCACTCAGCCTGTTCTCCACCCCCACCACCCCCATTACTATCTCATGGAAAGCTTGACTAAACTCTCAGTTGCTCAAGTCAGAAACAAGGCATCCTTTTATGTTACTGTCTGTCACATACCACCACATGTTATTGTTAATGATGATTAAGGAAGACAATTTAGGTGACAAGGACAAACGTTATCTAACACTTCATAAAGTAGATGGTCTCCATTCAGAGAACTGCAAAATGGGACAGAAGGCAGGAAGTTTTTATAGAACAGAAAATAAAAAGGAAGGAAGAGAAAAAGAGAAAATATCTGATTGACTGTGGCCACATAGTCAACCTTGATTGGGGTGAGAAGGAACAAGGAAGTAATTATAGCACCTACAGTTGATGTGTTGACTGGTCAAGCAAAGCATTTACAAGAATACAAAAGTTATAAAAAAAAAAAACTTCAATGTGCTGATGTAGTGCTTGGGGCAAGAGCAGCTCTATCCTGGGCCTTAAGATCTATGTCAGAATTATCAACCACTCAGTCTTTTAAATTATTGTTTTTGTTGCTTAGCCACTAAGTCATATCCAACTCTTTTGTGACCTCATGGACTATAGCCCACCAGGCTCCTCTGTCCATTGGATTTCCCAGGCAAGAATACAGGAATGGGTTGTCGTCTCCTCCCCCTGGGGATCTTTCCAACCTGGGGACTGAACCCATGTATCCTTCATTGCAGGTGGATTCTTTACCACTGAGCAACAGGAGAAGCCCAAAAAATACCCCATAAAAAAGGATTATGCAGCAGAAAAAAAGAGAGAACTTTAGGAATATCAGGACACTAGAGCATAGAGTCTAGTCAAGACTAGAGTTCTTCATAGCAGAAAAATGATCATTTTAATTGAGAAAACATTTTCTTTAATGTACTCCTCTCTGTCATCCTACTGCGAAAGGCTAATCCAAGTGTTCCACCACCAAAGGCAACTGTCACTGGTGGTCAGAAAAGGATAGGGAATTGTAAACCCACTCAGACCCAAACCTACAAGATTTCATTGAGAACTAATGTCGTTTCCAACCATAGATGTTTACTATCCATTTGGAGAAACAAGGGAAAAAATGGAGAACAAAACAATGTCAGGGCAGACCATGTTGTTAAATAATCCAGGAGAATGCTCAAAAACTTAAAAAAAAATACTAAATTGGAGAAGGGATTTAGCAGAAGGTCAGACTCATAGCTTGGTTTTCTCAGTGAGTGATATTGATCCAGAATCATAGGTAATAATGGAATCCAGGAATTGAGAAGACTTGCAGTTGGTCAGACATGGAGTTGGAATACAAAATATGGATGCTTCATTGTCAAGCAGAAGTACCTGTCAAAATGCCTCCTGAATGAACAAAACCTCACATAAACATGGAGAAATCATTAGGTTCTCATTTAGGCTTTTTTTTAAATGAGTTAGTCTGTTTTTATTATTAGAAACAAAACACTATTGAGATATGAGGCAAATACAGATAGAATCCTCAAGCTGAAGGTAGGCAGTATTTTTTTTTTTATTATAGCTACAATAACCAACAATGATATGCCTTTCCTTTGAGACTTAATCCAATGTGGCCTGGATTGGCAAACTTTCATCTACACCACCACCCTACTGGCATCACTGTCCCAGATACTACATGCCAAAAAGTTTGGCACTTTTTAACATAATGTCTGTGATATATTGTGGCTACTTGATTTAGGCCCTAGGAAAAATAGAAGTAGAAGTGCAAATTGTAGAAGTAGAAATCCATTGTTGTACCCACAAAAGTTATATAGTATTATAAACCAATGTTGGTGCTTCCCAGGTGGCATGAATGATAAAGAACCTGCCTGCCAATGCAGAAGACATAATGAGATGCTGGTTCAATTTTTGGGTCAGGAAGATTCCCTGGAGGAGGGCATGGCTCCTGACTCTACTATTCTTGCCTGGAAAATCCCAGGGACAAAGGAACCTTGTGGGCTATAGTCCATAGGATTGCAAAGAGTCAGACAGAACTAAAATGACTCAGCACATAAACCAATGTTATCTCAATAAAAAATAAATTTTAAAATTTAAAAAAAAAACTGTCTTAATACATTCAGTCTGCTCTAACAAGAATACCATATATTTGGTAGCTTATTAACAACAGAAATTAATTTCTCATGATTCTGGAGGCTGGGAAGTCTAAGATCAAGGCACTAGTAGGTTTGGTATCTGGTAAGAACCTGCTTCCTGATTGATAGGTTGTCATTTCCTTCCTGTGTCCTTACAAGGCTCAAGAGAGAGATGGAGAGCCCTGGGTCTCTTTCATAAGGGCACTAATCCCATTCATGAGTGCCCCACCCTCATGACCTAACTACTTCCCAAAGTCCCCATCTACTAATACCATCACATTGGGGATTATGTTTCAGTGTATGAATTTGGGGAACACTTTCAGTTTGTATCACATATCCCAAGGGGAAGAACTGAATTATGGAACTCAGAGCTAGGAGTATGCTATAAAGGAAATTACAGAGCGTTGGAAACTAGAAGGCACTCAGAGCGATGATTTAAGTCATTTAACATCTTTGAATCAATTTCTTCATCTATTCTGTGCGGATCATTTCTACTTCATGGCCAAATGAGAATCAAGTAAGAAGCTATGTGGAAGAGCTTTATAAAATTTAAACTAAGTATGATATGGATGTTAGTTGCTATCCTTAGCATATTCCTTAGACCACTCCTGGTATATCTTTCAGATTTTTCAGATTTAGAGCATAAAACCTAATGTGCTGAAGAGACTTCCCCAGGTGTCTCAGCTAGGAAAGAGCTCAGAAGATACCACAATCATCCACTCCTTCAGTCATTAGGGGGATGGTCAGACCCCAGAAGGGTGCACAAAAGTGGACCACATGTGCTAAAGACTCTTGATTTCTGCCTGAAAGTTGTGACTCTCTCTTATTAAGGCCCCATCTTCTTTAAGCTCACACAAATATGGACCAGGGAGAAACCACCAAGATTATATGGGCTAGATGGACTTGTCCTCCTGCCTGAGTTCAGAGAGAGCAAGGTGATAAGTCTCTATGGAAACACATTTACTCCCTGTGTTTGCAATAGTGGCTATCTTCTCTCCTAACTCCATCTGGTCTTGGCTGTACATCTATATCCCTCCTATCCATCAGTAAAGACCAGCATAGCCCTGGGACAAGAATCAGAAACCTAAAGTTCATTGTGTAGCCTTCCCTTCATTTCTTCTCAGAAGGAATCTAAGACTGCAGGTGACAAGAGGCTCTTTTTGCAGACCAGCCCACTCCTGGGTCTAAAAAGAGTGACCACATGACAGGGTGTGGTCATGCTACCTGGAGGTGTTCAGTGTCCCACAAAGACAGGCCTCCCTCATAAACCTAGGAAAGTCACTGGCAAGAGTTGCTTTGAGCTCTCGTTGTGCAGTAGTGCGAGCGCCTTACAGCTTCCGTTCTCAGGATCGGCCGCCCTCCCGCGTGCCGAGCTGCTAGGAAGCCGCTGTTGGCCAGCTCGTAGGAGCTTGAGACCGTCGTCACCTCTCCAATTTTAACCAGGGGGGAAAAATGGTTGAGGCAGATCGCCCAGGAAAGCTTTTTATCGGTGGCCTCAATACAGAAACAAATGAGAAAGCTCTTGAAGCAGTATTTGGCAAATATGGACGAATAGTGGAAGTTCTCTTGATGAAAGATCGTGAAACCAATAAATCTAGAGGATTTGCTTTTGTCACCTTTGAAAGTCCAGCAGATGCTAAGGATGCAGCCAGAGACATGAATGGAAAGTCCTTAGATGGAAAAGCCATCAAGGTAGAACAGGCCACTAAACCGTCATTTGAAAGTGGCATACGTGGACCACCTCCACCTCCAAGAAGCAGAGGCCCTCCCAGGGGTCTTCGAGGAGGAAGAGGAGGAAGTGGAGGAACCAGGGGACCTCCATCCCACGGAGGGCACATGGATGATGGTGGCTATTCCATGAATTTTAACATGAGTTCTTCCAGGGGACCACTTCCGGTAAAAAGAGGACCACCACCACGAATTGGGGGCCCTCCTCCTAAAAGATCTGCCCCTTCAGGACCAGTTCGAAGCAGCAGTGGAATGGGAGGAAGAGCTCCTGTATCACGTGGAAGAGATAGTTACGGAGGTCCACCTTGAAGGGAGCCCTTGCCCTCTCGTAGAGATGTTTATTTGTCCCCAAGAGATGATGGATATTCTACTAAAGACAGCTATTCAAGCAGAGATTATCCAAGTTCTCGTGATACAAGAGATTATGCACCACCACCAAGAGATTATACTTACCGTGATTATGGTCATTCCAGTTCACGTGATGACTATCCATCAAGAGGCTATAGTGATAGAGATGGCTATGGTCGTGATCGTGACTATTCAGATCATCCAAGTGGAGGTTCCTACAGAGATTCATATGAGAGTTATGGTTGAGAATTTTGGTCATGGTCATCATGGTCATGGAGTGCTGATTTTTTTCACACTAGATAAAGCTGGCAACAAGAGAAATGCAATGCTAAGAGCTGTTGAAGCAGAAGAATTGCTGATTGTCCTTAAGGCACAACAGTTGCATAAGCAGTACTCATCAGAATTGGTTTGGTGCAGACAAGATTTTTGCCTTCCAGGGTTCCCGTGGCTCTATGGAAGGCATCAACCCCAGTTGGTTAGCACTCTTAACTAGGGAGTGGCAGATTCTTAAAATGAGTAATTGACAAGATGGAGAAAGGGGAGAGTAATTAAGGAAATGGGTAAGTGGAGGTAGTCAGGAAGTTCTTGTGGTTCTTTTTTCAACTTTGACTTTACTTTAGCTAAGGTCATAGAAGTGACGTGAAAGTTGCTCAGTTGTGTCCAACTCTGTGACCCCATGGACTATACAGTCCGTGGAATTCTCCGGGCCAGAATACTGGAGTGGGTAGCCTTTACCATCTCCAGGGATCTTCCCAACCCAGGGATTGAACCCAGGTCTTCCACATTACGGGCAGATTTTTGACCAGCTGAGCCACAAGGGAAGCCCAGAGTCATAGGGACAACTGCAACTTAGAACTTCCTGATAACCAGTGATTAGAAACGTTGGATTAGAAATCTGAAAGGCATGAGAGGTAACTTTATCCAGTAAAGTGATTTTTCAGCAAGTAAAATATTTCTTACTGTTTATCCAAAAGTGAGATTTAGTCTTAAAACTAAATGGAAGACTAATATCTGGAAACTAAATTAACTGGAAACATAGCTGAAATGCTCGAAAGCACACTTTGAAAACTGGAAACAAAATTTGGCCAGTTGGCTTCTGCTGGTTTTTTTTTTTTTTAAAGAATAGTTGTTTTGTAAGCTTCCTTTACCCCCTACCCCAGTTCATGTCTTGCAAACCGTTAGAGCTTTATCAATTATTGCATTGAAGATTAGAGCCAATGGTGTAAAAGCTAATGTTCTCAAAGGAAACAGATTTGAGTTGTTGGGTTAGAAGGAACCAACTCACCTTCTGAATGCTTACCTAGTAAATATCAGTACTATCATGTTTACCATTGCAGTTGTGGAAAATATGCAGAAATTTAACCCTCATTTTGATAGGCTCTTCCAATCACAGATCATGAGGATATTGACCAAATTTTAAAAGCCATTGCACTTACATAGCTGTCTTCCTCAATCATTCTGTAATCGAAATTACTTGGGTCTATGCTCCCAAGGACCTTTTGGCTCTTGAGATTTTATTTGGGTATCTTGAAGATAGTGTAGAACATAGAGACTAATCATAGTAAAACAAATACTAAATTGAAGAATGTTTAATGACCAGACAGCTATTTGGCAAATAGTTTACTGACCCAGCAGACTTCTGCTCCTGTTGGGAAAAGAATTGGTCTTGATTCTTCTGGATTTATATTGGTTGTAAAAGAAACAGAATAACGTGTTTTCCTTGTTTAACTGGTAGTTGAATTATAGTACTTAGATATAATAGATGGCTTTTCTCTTTTTGGAATGTTTTGTATTTGAACCTAATAAAATTTGATGTGCATTTAAAAAAAAAAAAAAGAGTTGCTTTGAGACTCAGCCTTGTAAGAGGCAGTTACGAAGATTCAGAGGGCTAAAAATACAGTGCAGGTACTAACACATAAAATTTCCTGCAGAAGCCCATCATCCTAGAAGGTGTAGTCTCCTCTAAATATATTCTCCATCTTGTCCTCTCAGTGCACACCAAGTGTCATTGACTTTATAGGACATAAAACTAATCCAAACATGACCTTCACCTTTTTGTACATTTTTTCCAGCAGGGAAAATAAGGGAAGCTATAAGATAGGAAAGGTCTTGTTTTTTAAAAAAAAATGTGTGTGTATGTGTGAACACATATTTAGCAGCATAAGCCTTTATTCAAATGAAGCTTTAAATGGAACAGCAATAAATAAGATACATAAAAAGAGCTGCTCGGTAAGCACAAGGGTGGGTCTCAGAAACTGCTCATCTTCTTCCTTCTTTTTGTGGCTTCTCAGGCACCTTTGTCCAACTCTAAGGTCAGAAAACTACTGGTCTGAGTGAGATCAGACCCCTGGGTTCCTAGCCAGTGCAGGGGCTTGTTTTCAGTTGTGGGACCAGGGCTGAGGCTGCTTCAGTCCTGCAACCCTCACTAACTTGGAGACTCCTCAGGCTTCATGTTTCATTGCCATGCCTCAGTGGAAAAAAGAAGCCAAAAAAAGAAGCCAATTCTACCATCAATATCTCCCCTTCCCCATCTGAGAGATTGGGAGATATGGCTTCCTGCAGAAGAAACAGTGGGGAAGTTTCTCCCAGCTGAGGGCAATAGTGCTGGCCACAAACATCCTGAGGCTTTGTTACCTGATTGGAGTTGCAGGCTTATGGCAGGTGCAATGTGGGGCTTGGGGCTGGAGGAGAAGTTCCATGGCTCTGTCATGTGCTGTGATATACTACACACTCTTTTGTCTGAAAGATGTGATGCTGTCATATACAGGAGTGCTCCTTATGTGTCCCCAGGCAAGAATAAAAGTCATGGAGTTAGTAGGTAGTGTGGTACACGGGAGAGAGGCCTGGACTCAGATATAGAAGTGCTAGATTCTAGTGTGTGTTGCCCAGGGAAAGTCCACTTAATCCACCAGGGGATCACTTTTTGTAAAAAAAAAAAAAAGAAAGAAAGAAAGAAAGAAAAAAAAGTGTTGGATAGTCCATACATTCTCTCTGGGCCTTAAACATTCTGAATATTTATTACTTCATAATATAAAAAAATGAATTTCTACTACATAATAATTTTGTATGAGATTGGGTACAGAATCTAGAGAAAGAGTTACAAGAGCTACCATTTATGAGCACTTGCTATGGGCCAAACAGCGCACATAGGGACAGTGTGAGATGGGCATGGCATTTCCTCCTTTACAGAAGAGAAAAGCTAGAATCAGTGAGTTTAGGTAGCTTGCCAAAAGCACACTGCAAGAAAGTGGCAGAGCTAGAATTAAAAACTTTCCCACAACACAAGTACCTGCTCTCCTACTCAACTTCCTGCAGAGCTAATCTGACACTAACATCTGCTGCAGATGAGTCACCTGTGGAAAAATGAAAGCTGACAAGCTATACTTTCACCAGGAGTACCCTCAGATGATCTCACAATATTTTCTTAGTTTACAAGAGGAGCAAGAGGAGGGCAATTCTCTCTTTATAAAGCAAAATCTGAGAATGTTTGGAGATACCCAGTCTTGCATCTGTTGTTTCCCAACCATGGTTTTGAATTAATTCCCATGCATAGTGAATATAATCTCTTTGCTTAAAAAAGGAAGAACTCTTAAAAACAAAGATTAGACAAGAGATAATCTTATCCTCAATTAGGGGAGCCTAATTTGCAAGAGCCAGGAAAGAAGGCAGGCAGCAACTGAGTGTGCAATGCCGATCTCAGCTTTTCTACTCTGAAGTCAACTCAGCTCTTTAGAGTTGCTCAGGGCAAGAACACATGCCCACCACACCCTATGTTTCTAAATACTGAGAACATGTGTCAGCAAGAGGAGGAGCAAGTGCAGACAGGAGCATGACAGGAAGAGTTGGAACTCAAATACAAAGCTCCAGCTCCAACTGAGTCTGCCACCATAATAGCAGAGGAGATGGAGCACCACAGATTCATCATGGGTCCTCTACTGAGCCCTCATTTCCCCAAATCTTTATTTCCCACTTCTAAATCTTGAGTGCAAAGGATTAGAAAATGCTTTGCTTAAGCCAAATTATTCCAGAGAAAGGAATTAAAGTTCCATATTCTTGATATATAATTAACACCTTATAATTATTACTGCTATTATTTTTATTAAGTGTATTTTTAGAATAATTTTAGGTTCTGAGCAAAATTGAGTGGAAAGTACAGAGATTTCTCGTTCATCCCCCTTTTCCCATACTTTCATAGCCACCCCCATCTATCAACATCCCACAACAGCCTGGTACATGTATCACAATCAATGAATATACATCAATACATCATGATCACTCAAGGTCTATAATTTACATTAGGATTCATTCTTGGTATTGTACATTCTACTGGTTTTGGCAAACATATAATGACATATATCCACCATTGAAGTAGCACAAAGAACAGTTCCACTACCCTAAAAAACCTCTGGGCTGTGCCAATTTATTCCTCCCTCAAACCCTAAGCTCTGGTAGCCACTGATTTTTTTTTTTTACTGTATCCAAAGTTGTGCCTTTTTCACAACGTGGCATAATTGGGGTAAAATGCCATATAGCCTTTTCAGATTGACTTATTTTACTTATTAATATGCATCTAAGTTTCCTCCATGTATTATATTTTTATGGCTTGATAACTCATTTCTTTTTAGCACTAAATAATATTCCATTGTCTATATACCACAGTTTATTTTTCCATTCATCTGTTGAAGGACTTGGATGCTTCTAAGTTTTGGCAATTATAAATAAAATTGCTATAAATGTGCAGTTTTTTGTGTGTGAACACAAGCTTTCAACTCATTTGGGTAAATATCAAATAGTATGATTGCTGAGTCATATCAAAAGTATGTTCAGTTTTGTAAGAAACTTCCAAACTGTCTTTCAAAGCATTTGTCCTATTTTCTATTCCCACCAGCAAGGAATGAGAGTTCCTGTTGCTCCATATCCTCATTGGTGTTGTCTGTGTTCTGGACATTGGTCATTCTAAT